GTACATGTATATATACAATTATTGGCAAACATTAGGAAACAATTTGTAATATAATAATTTGCAAATTTTTGTGTATATTTTATTTTCTAAAATAGGAAATTGAATTAATGATAGGCGATAGGAGATTAGGAAATTGAATACACAACTCCAGTATGAACATCCATATGTACACATATATACAGTTATTAGCAAGAATTGGGACAAAATTTATAATAATTCGCGAATTGTTATCTATATTTTATTTTCTGAGATGGGAAATTGAATTAATGATAGGAAATAGGAGATTAAGAAATTGTATGAACATACATATGTGTACATATATATACAGTTATTGGCAAACATTACGAAAAAATTTGTAATATAATAATTTGCGAATTTTTGTTGTATATTTTATTTTCTAAGATAGGAAATTGAATTAATGACTGGAGATAGGAGATTAGGAAATTGAATATGAACTTCCATACGTATACATATATATATATACAATTATTAACAAGAATTGGAAAAGATTTATAATAATTTGCGAATTTTTGTGTATATTTTATTTTCTGACATATTTAGGAAATTGAATTAAAATTGGAAATGAGATTTATACAAAATATTCGAAGAAAAAGAATATTGTTAAATGGTATACAAGATGATATGTCTTCATTATTTTCCTATTTTTAATTTCAATAGTTACTTAATTAATTTTAGAAGGTAAAGAATATACATGAAAATTCCCTACTTTTATCAGTGAACATATATCATGAATATTACTGTACATTAATTATATATTAATTATTAACGTAAGCTATTAATAATAATTATTAATTCGACACGTAAATAATTATACATTACACATACAATGTGACCATTTTAAGTCTCTACACGAGTTAAATCCTATGCCAAAAAATTGAAAACAAATATATATATATACTATAACAATTGAGGTACTCCAATTGACCTTGGAATCTCATATGAAGGTCACATCGAAATTTTTCAATGGAACCCTACACGTTTTATCACACACTTTTACAATTAATATCCAATCCTTCTCAACGCTCTAAATTCTTGTTGAATTTTCAAAATAATTACAGAATTATCCGTCTAAAGAACATCTAATTTCCAAAACATGATCGGTACCCATCACACAAGCACGACACCACTCATATAGTCAGAATCTCAGTATACCGGTACCAGCGAGATACCACATGACGAGTGCCTCGTTCGGGCAGCATACACCGCGAATTATGACACACACACACACACACACACACACACACACACACACACACACACACACACACACACACACACACACACACACACACACACACACACACACACACACACACACACACACAAAATTCGCGCGCACACACAAACACAAACACGCGTGTGAAATTCCCGTGGAATCCATAAAAAATCCGGACATCGATCGCGCAGCCGATGCCATACCACTCGAGATCACACACGGTTTTATGTACCGCAGATTTACATACGTACACCGCGGGTTCATACCATTTCCGAACGATACAGCTCCACATGGATACACACAGACACACACACGCATACACAGTCTCCACTTACGGTTCTCGCTGTACATATGGTTTTACGGTGCACCGGGAGCACGGTGTGCCCGGTGGCGAACGGTACACGTACAAACACACACACAAGCACCCTCACAGACTCCGTGGACATCATGGAGTGGATCGTGGCCACGGCTCGAAGGTTTAACGAGCATTTAGGTATGAGATCGACGTTCGTCGAGGACGGCAAGCATCGGCGATCGTCCCCGCTGCAATCGGCGGTGCGAATTCAAGGAGTTAGTAGCATGGGCATGTGTGTCTGTCTGTCTGTCCGAATCGCAGCACGTTCACGTCGAACCTGTGATAATATGTGTTTTCTGTATTGCGTGTGTATCGTTGTGTATATGTATATCTATACACTTTCGTGCGTGGATATATTCATGTCCGAGCTCAGTGTTTTATGTATATATATATATACACACTCCTGTATTGTTTAGCGTTAAGAATGGGCTTTGCTTCGAGGTGGTGGTCATTTGGAATGGTGATATTGGTAATTGTCTTCTGGAGTGGGTAAGTGACTCTGGAAGGTGATTGGAGGAGGGTTATGAGAGGGAAGTATAATTTATTGCTTTTGTTTTGGTGATAGTAGAGATGGTGTATTATAGGCTGGATTTAAATATGTTCAGAATTAGATTTCATTTTATTTAGTAGTTTTGTTGTGCTAGGAATAGAATTGGGGAATTATAGGGTGGATTTAAATATATTGGGAATTGGAATTTATTTAATTTATTTAATTTATTAGTTTTGTTATGTTAAGAGTAGAGTTGGTGAATTATAAGGTGGGTTTAAATATATTGAGAATTATAATTTATTTAATTTAGTATTATTGTTATATTGCAAGTAAAATTCCTGGATTACAGAGTGGATTTAAATATACTGAAAATTATGATTTACTTAATTTATTAGTTTTGTTGTGTTAGGAATAGAATTGAGAAATTATAGGGTGGATTTAAATATATTAGGAATTATAATTTATTTAATTTAGTGTCATTGTTATATTACAAGTAAAATTCCTGGATTATAGAGTGGATTTAAATATGAGAATTATAATTTATTTAATTTAGTATCATTGTTATATTACAAGTAAAATTCCTGAATTATAGAGTGGATTTAAATATGAGAATTATAATTTATTTAATTTATTTAATTTATTAGTTTTATTATGTTAAGAGTAGATTTACTGAATTATAAAGTGGGTTTAAAAATACTGAGAATTATAATTTCCTTAATTTATTATTTTTCTCGATTTAACGACAGAGTTACTAATTTATAAAATGCACTGAAAAAATATTTCTCAAATTTACTATCTTCATTATACTTCATTATATTAACCCTATAATTACTAAATTATACCATACATCTAAATACACAATAACGAAACTAAAAAAGTACTTTTCCAAAATATTTAAAATTCGTAATTTTGTAGCATCTAAAAATCCTGATACGAAATATTACGTATTTTATTATCCATTTAAATTACTTCCCTTCGATTTGCACATATGTTACTTATAAAACACCATTGACGTGCACACCTATTAATAACATTTCTTAAGTCAACACTTATATTACTCACCGTGATGAAGAAATATAAAAAAATATAGAAAATAAATAAGATATCCGTCCAAAAACTTGAAACCAGTAGTTGCAATATCGAATTCGCTGTATTTCTCGGCAAGTTTTCCCATTCCCATGTCACCACTTCGAAGTAGACCATCGATACCTGTTATATGTACTTCTACACGACTCACGCCGAGCTTCTGCACGCTTACGAGGTGGCTGCCAAGAAACGTGACCTCTGAGTGCTGAGTTCGATGGTTGTTACATTGTTAGATGTGCATGAGCCTATCGGGATGGTCGTTGACAAAATACAAACCCACCGATTACTCGGTCACGCGTAATTATAAGTACACCCCAATAATAACTACCCCGAAATTTTTATTTTATTTTATTTTCTACCCAAACTTCGATCCTCGTATATTTTGTACATACGTTTCTCGAGACCCCACATCCCTCTTATAGAAGACTCTGAACACTGTAAATAGAACACGAAGATCGTCTTCGAAATTTCTTCGTTTCCCACGAAATTTCTTTACTTAATATAAAGGAAAATTTCAAATTTCGAATTTCGAATTTCAAATTTCGTCGCGTGTTTAATTGTTGATTCACTTTCCACGCCACGCAGACTGAAAGGTAACTCGATTCTATTACCCGTTGCCAAATATCTAAGAATTCGAAGGGAAAAACTCGAAACGAGATTAATTTTCGAAAAATATCCGCGAAAATTTTCTTCAGTCGAGGAAAGTCACGAGAAAGCAGAAAGTATCGTAAATTCGTGCAAGCATAAATTCCTGGCAAGCTTTCCCGATATTACTTCCAGTTTACGCTTCGACATTTTTCAAAATCACCGAACCGCGATGTTTCACTTGTTTGACGGTTGAAAATTACGCGGGAGTACGAATGCAAATATTTATCAATTAACGTGTTACACGAGAGAGGGTAGGCGATCGTAATTTCGAACAGAAATGTCGGAAAAGAGCAATCGAGGAATTTTCGAGTATCTAAAACCCGAAGATAAATTGATAAATTTAAATCTGCATTTAAATTTCTCTGGGTAAAATCTAAATCATCGATTCAATGATTTCTGTCGTGAATTGTCAATGTCGGATATTTTTTAAATTTATTGACACGTAAATCTGTAAAAATTCGAATTTTATGTTAAAATATTGAAAGAAATAGGTTAGGTATAATAAATATCCCTATAAATATCCCTATATCAACGAATTTTTGAAAAATTTAACAAAATTTTAACTAAATTTCTGACCAAATATTTTTGCAATTCTTTATTGTACTATACAAAGTACTATTTAGTAATGTCTATAGTTATTTACGAATTCAAAGAGCTTAGAAATCGTTCTCCAATTTTCTATTAAATTTATACAACGAATACTTTTATAATTTTTTATTATAATGTACTATATAATAATAATAGTAATTACTATATAATATAACAGCAATATGATCGATCATTTTTATAGTTATTTATACGCTTAAAAATTTTAACTATATTTCTAAACGAATATCCTCGAAATTTTTCTACAACCTAATGAACTCGATCGACTCAAAATTAACATAATCTTAATCTAATTAAATCTTCCACGATACAGATTACAAAGCTTCTTATCACCCGACACTTATGAAATTTATATTAAACACATTTCGGTACACCTTCCTCTCGTTTTCTTAGATACGGCAACAGGTAAGACTCACTTGTCAATTAAACCGTAATTAACCGTCTGCCAGGTAAGTAGAGACACAGAAAGAAATTCCTGCAACCCTGTGAATCCCGTGAGAAAATTTCGGAGCGCGTATCGCGTTAGGCAAATGTCGGGAGACGCACGCCTAATCATCGATTTCGCCTAACTTCCGCAGTGATCTCCGCCCAAGGACTGATCGCGAAGGACAAGAGCGGCACATCTGATCCATACGTGACGGTGCAGGTCGGCAAAGTGAAGAAGAGGACCAGGACCATGCCCAGGGAATTGAATCCTATTTGGCACGAGAAGTTCTACTTGTGAGTAATTTCGTTAGCACTTTGACTGCCACGTTGCTCATATATGGCCGACCGGTTGGTCATATATTTCTCCTGTGACGCCACGGTGGTCATTTAACCGGAGCGCTTGAACTACTTGAACTACATTGAACTACATTGAATGAAAATTGACAGTTACTGCATTTTGAATATAACCTCTAATTAGAAGATACTTTGAAATAAAAAGTGAACGATTAAAAATTTTTATCAGAACATCAAAAGCATAGAACAAATCTTGCATTTAGCCCCGAGGGAAACATGTGATTTCGGCGTAGCAGTCAAAGGGTTAACATCAATTTTTTATCCACTTTTCAAATAATAATAATAATTTAATATAAATAACGCATCCTATAAAATTGCTATTCTATAAATAATAAATTTAAATTTGTTATTCTATAAATTACAAAAGTCAATGAAAAATTTTCAATTCATTCTGTTTGCATATGACCGTCTGATGAAAAATAAAATATATCGTATCCTATAAAATTACTATTCTATAAATAATAAATTTAAATTTGTTATTCTATAAATTACAAAAGTCAATGAAAAATTTTCAATTAATTCTGTTTGCATATGATCGTGTGATCAAAAATAAAATTATATCAGAGATCATCCTATTAAATAAAAGAATTATAATGCACAATATTTTTATGCAATTTATCGCATAATTTATTTTATAATTTTATATTAATATTATTCGTAATTTAAAATTAACTCCGTTTGCTCATCGAAGGGTGCTAAAAATTCTTTTAGCAAAAGGCATTGTGATCTACGATGTTATAACTTATCGTGTCACGATAAATAATACAGCAAGATTGTTAATGGTTGATAACGACGAACACAGGCAACAATGATCGATCGAATGTGAGGAAGAAGAAATGACAGATTAGAGTTTCCCGGAAACGGCTTTGATGCTCATAATTGCTCATCGTTCATTACAGTGACCTGGAAAAACATGTTCGACTTACTCTCGTAATATAAGATCGTTTAGACACGAAGACCACAGGGGAAAAACATGATAAATCGTATTTCCCATGTTTTATGGGAGAGCAATTTTAAAAAGCTCTCAACCAGTTCCCACTATTACCGAAATTGTCTTTTCATGCGATTTAAGAATTAAATCACCGTTTTTACCGTCTCCACGAACATTTCGAAAATATCGGTTCCCATAAAATTGACAATAATTCTCGGATTTATTTTTTCGCTTAAAACCCCCCGTATCGCGTTGAAATTTGTCCGATATCAAAGAGGGAGATATCAACAAAGGAAAAAGCAATTTATCGTATTTCTTTTCGGTATATTTCACGTGAAATATAAAATAATAAAATACCAGTGATTTTTATATAAAAATACAAATCATTTTGTCTTTCAATGATATTATAATTCTTTGATCTTTAAGCACGGTCTCTCGTTCAACAGTGATGGGGTCTCTCTGTGCCCTATACAGATATTCCACTAATACATGCTCGAGACCCCCACCCTTATTGTACTGTCATGAAAGAAATTTCACCTCGTGCGAATTTTGCTTTAATTTTACTGAAAAGACTCGATCAGAGTTGTTATCGCGTTTGACGTGTGACGCCCGTGTTAACCGATAACGCCCCGAGTTGAGTCTTATCTGGTTCCAGATAATTTTATGGACATTCGTATCTCAAAAAATATTTATCGTAAATGTATCATAAAATAGATCAGTTTCCAATATACAATGCTATAAACAAAAGAAAGGAAGTATAAATGTGTTTATCGAAACGTCGAACTCTCGAAACTCAAGATAAAGTTTCGAGTTTTAATCATTCGCCTGTTTTCTGGGATTTGAAATTCTTGGAGCTGAAACAAAGAAAGAGAAGAAGGTATACCAAGTTTCGAGAGTTCCCAGAATCAAAACCTTACGAAGTTTGGTCTGTTTAAAACTCGGACTCCTGTCAAAAAATTAAAAATCGAAAATAAAATTTCTCCTTTCTGGAAAGAAATTATCTTAAGATAATACTTCAGATGACCAAGTATACAAACCCAAATTTGATCCTCTGAGATTTCCAAATTAATACTGAACGGGAAAGAAAATAAATCAATTGTGAACCCTAATCGATGTCAATAAACGATTGGAAAATTTGGCTAATCGATGAATTATACTGTCCACAGTGAGTGCCACAACTCGTCCGACCGAATAAAAGTGAGAGTGTGGGACGAGGACAACGACCTGAAGTCGAAGCTGCGACAGAAGCTGACAAGGGAGAGCGATGACTTCCTTGGACAAACGATCATCGAGGTGAGGACGCTGAGCGGCGAGATGGACGTTTGGTATAACCTGGAGAAGAGAACGGACAAGAGCGCGGTGTCTGGCGCGATCAGACTGCATATCAGTGTGGAGATCAAAGGCGAGGAAAAGGTCGCGCCTTATCACGTGCAGTACACCTGTCTGCACGAGAACCTCTTCCATAGCCTGTGCGAGAAGAACGATGGCGTTGTGGCGTTGCCTCAAGCGAAGGGTGACGATGCCTGGAAGGTGTACTTCGATCCACCAGGCGAAGAGCTCGTGGACGAATTCGCGATGAGATATGGCATCGAGAGCATCTACCAAGCAATGACGTGAGTTGCGTTGTTTGGGAGTAACAAGCTTGAGTCATGCTGTTTAGGACTATGTAGAGTGACTCGTGTCTAGGGTTATCAGACATAAATCATACTGTTTAGGACTATGTACAGTGAGTCACGTCTAGACCTAGCTGACATGAGTCATATTGCTGTGAAACTACCAAACTTGTGTCATGCTGCTTAAGACTATGTAGAGTGACTCGTGTCTAGGGCTATCAGATATGAGTCATGTTGTTTAGGACTATGTAGAGTGAGTCATGTGTAGACCTAGCTGATATGAGTCATATTGCTTTCAAACTACCAAACTTGTGTCATGCTGTTTATGACTATGTAAAGTCAATTGTGTCTATACCTAGCAAACATGAATCATGCTGTTTAGGACTATGTAGAATCAGTCATGCCTAGATCTAGTAGACATTAATCATGTTTTTTAGGGCTACATAGAGTGAGTCATGTGTACACCTAGCAGACATAACTCATATTGCTTTGGAGCTACCAAACTTTAGTCATGCTGTTTAGGACTACGTAGAGTCAATTATGTCTATACCTAGCAAATATGAGTTATGCTGTTTAGAACTATGTAAAATCAGTCATGCCTATATCTAGCAGACATGAATCATGTTCTTTAGGGCTACATAGAGTGAGTTATGTCTAGACCTAGCTGACATGAGTCATATTGCTTTCAAACTACCAAACTTGTGTCATGCTGTTTAGAACTACGCAGAGTCAATTATGTCTATACCTAGCAAACATGAATCATGCTGTTTAGGACTATGTAGAATCAGTCATGCCTAGATTTAGCAGACACGAATCATGTTCTTTAGGACTACATAGAGTAAGTCATGTGTAGAGCTAGCAGACATAACTCATATTGCTTTGGAGCTACCAAACTTTAGTCATGATGTTTAGGACAATGTAAAGTCAGTCATGTCTAGGGCTATCAGACATGAGTCATGCTGTTTATGACTATGTAGAGTGAGTCATGTGTAGACCTAGCAAACATGAATCATGCTGTTTAGGACTATGTAGAATCAGTCATGCCTAGACCTAGCAAACATGAATCATGTTGTTTAGGGCTACATAGAGTGAATCATGTGCAGACCTAACAGACATGAGTCATATTGCTTTGGAACTACCAAACTTTAGTCATACTGTTTAGAACTACATAGAGCCAATCATGTCTATACCTAACAGACATGAATCATGTTGTTTACAGCTACATAGAGTCATGTATAGGCCTATCAAACATGAATCATATTGCTTGGAACTAGCAAACTTGAATCATGCTATTTAGAACTAGGTAGAGTGAATCATATATAGATCTATCAAACATGAATCATACTGCTTTGGAACTACCAAACTTAGGTCATGTTGTTTATAACTAAATAAAATTAGTTATGTATAGACCTATCAGACATGAATCTTGTTATTTAGGACTACGTAGAATGAATCATGTCTAGACCTATCAGACTGGAATAGTGTCGTTAAGAAATACCAAACTTGAATCATGATATTTAAAACAACAATACCAATTATTCTGATTGGTATCAGACTTTTTGTTTTTCAAATTACATTGAAAATATGAAGATGATTTCTCAAGAGAAAAATCTCAAACTAGAACTAAATTGAAACCTTCGTTCCATATTTTCTAAACCCACCTACACTCCTAAAACCCTTCCAAACCTTGCAGATTTTCGCGATTCTTCGTCGTTTCCGGAAAAGGAAAAGTTGATGTCACGGACTTATGATAAATGTTCGAATTTTTGCTGAGTCACAACAGCAACGTTTCAGTACTATAATCTTTGTTATTGTATATCCGCGCGTTTATTTTCTGCTTACGACACGAAACCGGAGAAAACTGCCACGATGCTCAGCTTTGTCCTGGGAAAATTTAGAAATTATTTTCCCACTTGATATTCAACGAACGCGTGTTAAATAGTTCGCGAGAAATCCTGGGGGATATTGAATTTCCAAAAATTATTTTTGCGTTTAGTATTCATCGAACGTCTGTTGAAAGATTTACCAAGAATTTTTCAACACCAAATAATAAAATTTGACGATGGAAAGCTATGAATATTCTACTTCCGAGGAGTTCTAGACTTTTAAGTAGTAATATCAATCAATTTTCGAACATTTAAACGACACAGGTAGTATTTTAACTGTATACAATTTCATTCGAATTTTCAATAAAACAGAAATATTATCGAATTTATATATCCTTTCACGAGTCGTTTATTTTCAATTATCAAATGAATTTGGAAATTCAATTTCGCTTTTAATCGTTTGAAAATTGAAATCCGATATTGTATAAAAATTCTTTGAATAGTATCGATAAAATAATCTCTGTCTGTATACTCTTTCCACAATGAAGTCCAGTGAAAACACGGTTCACCAAAATTAATATATCACTATTTTTGAAAATACGAGGAAAAAGATTTTTTATACCCACAGTGCTTTTAGACCATTCCAAAAATTAAATCTACGTACATTACCTAATCCAAAAGCTATCTAGAAAGCAAGAAATTAATATTCAGTCCCATTCGACAAAATAAAAATTATATTATACCACTTCAAAACTTTAATTCCCACCAAAAATACAATATTGAACAAATGAAAATCTAAATATTATATGATACAAAAGAACACCATAATTTTGCAAAAAGGAATGATATTTTACAACATCAATGAATTTTCCATAAATACAATCACCTTTATTTTATTATTATATTAATGTATTAACACTGGTCATACCACAATTAGCCTAAATAACAATTTCTAAATTCTTTATTAAAAATTCTGCATTCAACGTTCACTTGACTTCTCCAATTTTCTTTCAATACACGAATCATGAATTTCCCATACACTCTTATCTTCTCCATCCTCCATTTTCCATCTACAAATCCTTAACCGATTATGGTAGGTCCACCATTGTAATTATTATTATAAATATTATACATTGAATACAATAAAATAAATTCTCTATATTTATTCAATTAAGAAAAGAACTCACGTAGATATCTCATAACACCTATACAGAGAATGATTCATAACACATTAGATGTCATATAAGATGTATTTAGTCTGTATGCACTCTATATTCTGCTGTATTTCATTAATATTGCCCTCTGTACTTTTCAGGCATTTTCACTGCCTCTCCACGAAGTACCATTGCCCAGGAGTGCCAGCGATGATGTCCACCCTGCTGGCGAACATAAACGCGTACTATGCTCACACCAGCGCGAGCTCTGCTGTCTCGGCCAGTGACAGATTCGCCGCCAGCAACTTTGGGGTGAGTTCTCGGAGAACGTCGAAGACCGTCCCCGTTCCTGTAACCTGCGAAGAGATAAGGACGAAGATAAGGAGAACAGGGCCCAGCGTGACCGAGAAATACTCCTGCGATCCTCCGCTAGCTTAAACCCTCCACTGTTCCAACAGGGGCTTCGATTTCCCCAGCAACTTCGCAGAACGCGCATTCTGCCTGCTCTATCAATTTCATGGCGAAATCCTTCGATTAAACTGCCTCTTTACCCTCCTCATCCCCTCCTGCTCAGCATGGCTGGAAATTGCGAGCGCGAACATACACGGTCCGGTCTAATTAAAATTTTAATTAACATCTTTTTCGCACTCGCTGTACCGCGTTGATCGTCAAAGCTACCTAAGGTACTTTTGAACCGTGCAATGAAAATCGCTCCACCGATCATTTATGTTATATTATATCCTTTGGAGTGGTGGAGTTGATTGGATTGATTCGTGGAGGAGTGCAAGAATTGTGGATTAAATTGGAAGAATAAATAAAAGCGTGAAGAATTTAGTTGAATGAGTAAAGGAGATGTACACTGACATTATGATTGTAGAAACGTGAAGATTTTTAACAATATTGTTGTGAGGAATTAAAATAACTATGGAAGAGATACTCATCTATGTCAGTCTTGGTCAGGACAGATTAATAATATTTATTAAAGAGTCGGAGTAGGAATGATACTTAATATTCCATAAATTGGAATAGAATTGGTATGAAATGGATACAAAGTTGAAATAGAATCGAATTTCAAGAGTTACTGGAACTTCATCAGTAACAGATATCTTCATCAGAGTGGATATTAAATACTTTCCAACTCCTGTAAGAGATAAAAGCAGTTTAAACGAATTGATGAAAATATCAGAGGAATGAGAGTTCCCATGTGAAAAAGATGACGTTATTATCAGTGGACGATATTCTTCCTCCTGGCAAATCACTTTGGCCAGTTTAAAGGGGACGAATTTTATAGGGGAATAGGTAGTTTTTGATTATGCAAATCGCCATTCCGGAATTGCAGATTCTGTCGTTTGAAGCAGAGAATCGTTTTAGTAAAACAATGTAAATTTTTTCGGGAAAAGTTACCAAGAGGGATGCAAAAGACGACCGTGCCTGTTTTCTATGTTCCTGAATTATGCATGACTTCGTCTTCCGGATTGGTGCACACATATGACCCAATAACTTTATCTTCGTTGCAAAAGCAGTAACAAAATAGATAGCTCAGTCGAGGCTAACGACAGAAGGTCGAAGGGAAGCTGCTTCAGGGTAACAGAGTGTGAAGAGCTGTACAAAAAAATATTGAATATTGAAACAACCTTGAAATGTTAATATTTCATTAATCTCCAATGTTATTTATATAAGCAGAGAAGTCTCTCAATTTTCTTATTCATGTTATCAACTTCATTATTCTTTTGCAATTTCTGTATTCACCAATTTTATTTATTTATTTATTTATTTATTTATTTATTTATTGAGATGATGAACCCTATCTGATACTCTGAAAGTACAATAACTATCAAATAGAAAGAGGGTAAGAGAAATGTAACATATAGCATTGTGAGAATAACACTTGAAGGAAAAGGAGAAAGAAATTATTACATTCACCAATTTTATTTATTTATTTATTTATTTAATGAGACGAATCCTATATTATACTATGAAATTACAATAATTATCAAACAGAGAGAGAAGAGAAATGTAACATACAGTACTGTGAAAATAACACTTGAAAGAAAAGGAGCAAGGAATAAGAAGCATTAATAAGAAAAATAATACTTATTATTATTAAGAACAAATTTTTTTTTAATTTAAATTTAATTTTATTATTAATAATAATACTTATTTTTCTTATTAAATTTTCACAATTTTGACAAATCTAAATTATTCGAAAATATGGAAAAAGTAATTCTGATGGGAAAAAGTAAAGGAAAGAAGAATCGTTAAAAGGAAGAAGGAATATTCCATTATTTTTCTTGTCGATGCCACAGCTCGACTTCGCTTCGATTGCATTCTCCTAGACGCCTGGCAAATCTTCCCCCAAGGATCGCACGTTTCGCCTTTTCTTTGGGTGTTCATTTTTCTCCTTGATCTAGGCTACCCACGGTTCTTACTCGCACGGGCGCCCGTGGGATTGTAAAGTTCTGCTAACCGTAAACAGTACTGTCGACTTACTCCGGGTGAATTATTAACTGAGGACTGTGGGATCCGATAATAAAAACGGGGCGATTTTGAAGAAAAATTAAACCTAAACGAAGAAGCTTGAAAAATTGATCCGTACATTCGCAATTTCCAACTTTACCATCAAAATGTTATCTTTAAATAATACCATTTATACTATACTTTTTATTATAGTATTATTAATTCATTAATAGTATCATTAATTCATTATGTCAAATTATGTAAAAATATCGATCAATAATGGGTCGAAGGAACTCTTTTAATACTTTTATTATTCATTTTGATCTTTGTATAATATAATGATACTAATTTTATGAGACTAGATTTAATTTTTATTAGAGTATTATTAATATTAAAGTCAATATTGATTATTAAAATTAATTTTGATATTAAATGAAAGTATTATAATATCTTCGCACACCCGCAACAGCGATGTAAGCATGATCACCTAACAACAGGCGTCTTAGTTGTTCTAACAGTAACTCAGCGACTCCATTATTCCTCAAAATTTATCATAACCGGGTGGTATCTCAGCAGCCAGCATACGATCCACGATTCCATTATAACCACATGCAGACTGTTCCATTGGTCACGCTATTCCTCCTCAGCCTGTCTGAAACCAAGTCCCTCGTATATTTCCCTGCCAAGATAAGTATAACATAACTTTTGATCGCTCGTCTTTCCCCGGGTCGGATAAATGGCCCGGCGAACCCGAGTCGGACCCTTTTCCCGGCCGCACACGTAATTTATGGAAACTCGATACACCGGCAAAATACATTTTCCTTTCCGTTCACGGCCCATTTCTTTCGTTCCAGAAAGAGAAGTTCGTGAAATTACTGGATCAGCTGCACAACTCTCTGCGAATCGATCTGTCGATGTACCGAAATAACTTCCCTGCCTCGAGCCAAGAGAAGCTGATGGACCTGAAGAGCACGGTCGACCTGCTGACGAGCATCACGTTCTTCAGGATGAAGGTGCTCGAACTGTCCAGCCCGCCTAGAGCGAGCACCGTGGTGAAAGACTGCGTGAAGGCGTGCCTTCGATCCACCTACCAGTTCCTGTTCGAGAACTGCTGCGACATCTACAATAGGGAGTACCAAGTGGACCCAAGCGAGGCGAAGAGGGACGCCGAGGACCATGGACCTCGTCTGGAGTCGCTGGACTTCTGGCACAAATTAATCGCGTTGATCGTTTCGGTGGTCGAGGAGGACAAAAACAGCTATGCTCCTGTCCTGAACCAATTCCCTCAGGAACTGAACATCGGTCAACTGTCAGCGGCCACCATGTGGTCTTTGTTCGCTGTGGACATGAAATATGCTTTGGAGGAACACGAGCAGCACAGATTGTGCAAATCCTCTGCCTATATGAACCTCCACTTCAAGGTCAAATGGCTGCACACCAACTACGTGAAAGATGTGCCACCGTACAAGGGTGCGGTACCCGAGTATCCTGCCTGGTTCGAGCCGTTTGTCATGCAGTGGCTAAACGAGAACGATGACGTTTCACTGGAATATCTCCATGGTGCCTTCAACAGAGACAAGAAGGACGGAGTAAGTGTTCCTTTTTGTTAATTGTTAAAGGTACTTGCTTCTTTGGACGCAGAGGGCGCAATTTAATGATGTTTTATCTCGTTGCAGTTCCAAAAGAGCAGCGAGCACGCGCTGTTCAGCGTCTCCGTCGTCGACGTCTTCACTCAATTAACCCAGTGTTTCGACGTGGTTTCCAAGCTGGAATGTCCCGATCCGGAGATCTGGAAGAGGTACATGAAGAGGTTTGCAAAGACCATTGTAAAAGTGTTAGTGGCTTACGCGGATATCGTGAAGAAGGAATTCCCAAGTCACCTGAAGGAAGAACGAATCGTATGTAGTCTATAATAGTCCAATATGTTATCAAATGTACTTAGTTGTGTAAATGATCACAGAGTAACGCTTGTACTCTTCTTCTTCAGGCTTGCATTCTCATGAACAACATTCAGCAGCTTCGAGTGCAGCTAGAAAAGATGTTCGAGTCAATGGGTGGAGAGAAATTGGAAGAGGATGCGGCGAACATCCTGAAGGAACTTCAACAGCAATTGAATGGAGCACTCGACGACCTTGCTATGCTGTTTGCAAAGAGCTTGGAGCCGAGAATAACCGCTTCCGTGAAGGAATTAGGAGACCTGTTGTTAGCTATTAAGGGTGGTGGACAGGTGCAGTTATCGCAACCTGCCCAGAGAAACAATGTCGCCGTGGAAGCTGATGAAGTATTGCGTCCCCTGATGGATCTTCTCGATGGAAGTTTGTCCTTGTACGCTGAATCTTGCGAAAAGACAGTGTTGAAGAGGCTGCTGAAAGAATTGTGGAAGATCGTCATGAGGATTCTAGAGAAGACAGTGGTACTGCCACCTATGTCGGATAAGAGCGTATGTTTTTGATTATTATAGCTTCAGTTGAGTATAATAGGCAGGTATATTTATTGGGGCATATGTATCATAGATGATGTTCAAAAATCTGACGGATAACGCTAAGAATCTAGCCGCAAACGCAAAGATAGAAGACATGTCGAAGCTATTCAAGAACCATATGGCTGGCAAACCTGATGTGAAGAACGCACTGAGCGGTGTAATGGTGTGTAAATTGTTTAAATGGCTCGGTTCTGCTATCGAAGATCATAATTACAAATATTTTATTCGTAGGATATTTCTAAGGAAGTAGAGAAGAATCTTTCCCCGAAACAGTGTGCTGTCCTCGAAGTCGCTCTAGATACCATCAAACAATACTTCCATGCAGGCGGAAACGGCTTGAAGAAAACGTTCTTGGAGAAATCCCCAGAATTGCAGAGCTTGCGATATGCCTTGAGCTTGTACACGCAAACCACGGATACTCTTATCAAGACTTTTGTCACGTCTCAGGTCAATCAAGGTAAGTTGACCCTTAAACGTGACATCTCGTCAAACATCAACATGAATATAAACTTTTTCACACATCATCAGGTAAATCCATGCTAATAACAAAACTATATTCATAGTTACAATTTTATTTATCTTTTATTTATAAGCATCAGTGAGAATATATTACAAGAAGATACAAAATTTTGTTCATTGTAAAGAACGAAGGAAGTAGTGCAAAGGTATTGAGCATTAATTTCTTCACTTAGGATAACGAAAGAAAAACAAGTTTCTCATGAAAAAACTAACACAGTTTTCCAGCACACAGAACATGTTCATCACACATAACGACCAGCAAAATTCCAATCAAAGTTACGAATCGAAAATTTAATCGATATTCCGAGTAAATTGAACCCTGTGGAAATAAACAAATGGGTGGCTCCCGAAAAATTGGCTTCAGTTCTAGTGCAACGTACATTACTCACGAAAATATACGTCATCACGAATTTCCCAAAATTCTATTGTATATATTCATCGACAACATTCGACACAAACGTCACGTACATCGTGCCATTGAATATCACTGGACGCGTGTAAAATTCGCGATTCTGTCTCGTTCACTGTTATCATCCGTTGTACACACACCGCGACATTTTCGGAAAATTCGTCACGACGTACGATTACAACCGACGTAACCGAAATTATCGCGACAGTGCCGCTGAACAATGCGTCAAAGCTACGTCAGCGTCAGCGTTCGATGAGCAGCGAAAGAGGTGGTGACGAAGGGGAAGGAGCCGAGGGTATGGAAAGCCTCGAAGAACCCCTTCGCCAGAGCAAGCCCTCTCTTCGTCGAGAGAGTCGACAAGGTACCAGAGAGCACTAGCCACCTTAGAGCAGAAGCCTCGGGAATTCTTCGCTGACTTCCGGCCACTTTCGAACCTAGGCGCTCGTTTTAGGACGTAGTGGACTGTTTGTGATTGCATTATTCACCGAGTTGTCTTTTCGGGACTAGATAGGTTCTTCGGGCACTCGTACGTTAGTCATCAAGTAATCCTATTAAATTCGCATATCTTCCTGCTTTAATAGCAAGAAAAACTAATAAAAGAGGAAGGTACTCTTATGATGTATAAGCAAATATTTTTGAAATATTTATCGACAATAGCCTTTCTAATGCTTTCTTCAAGAATTATTAATTCAACAAATTTCTTGAATCGATGGATAAAATTAAAAAGTTTTATTACTTGTTCCTAATATTCAAGTATTGAGATGAAAAATATAATTGTCTGACATTGAGGTTCGATTAAATTTATTAAAACGTTGAGAATGAAACAACTTATTCGTTAAAAATAAATATAAAAGTCTATATTTTTATAAATATATTATGTACAAATGCCCTTGATATTAATACAAATAACTGTATCTATTAGACAAACAAGCCAGCGCTGAAAATGATTTAAATCGCCAATTATATGAGTTGAATGTTAAATAATATTGACCCTTTCGGTACTGCAATTGCTTGTAAGAGTTCAGCTACGAGCTATAGGAATAAAAGCGTCATACCGTAGACGCTTTGCTCACAGCGAACATCCATCAACAAGAATCGAAAGGGTCAAAGGCGTCCCAAAGATCTCTCGGTGATCGATAGTTGTATTAGGTAGTGCTGCTGCTGTCACTACTACCGCTGTTGCTGCTACTACCGAAAACCTTGCAAAACAACGATCATAGAAAATGGCCACCTTCGAATCCACCCGCCAACAAGTTACTTTTACAAATCGTCTATCTACAGATTCTTAATCTTCCAAAAGAAAACGCAATTGTACGCAATCAGTGAAACCTAACGCTAAGTTTAAATTAGTAAAGTTATACACCTTTGGAATCTTGTAGGTATATAATTTGTGGAAGTTTTGCGTGTATTATATGCTTCAGAGGTTGCCATTTCCTAACATTGTGTCTTACACTAAGCATTCCTTTAATCATCTTCTTTGAAGCTTTTACACATGTACACTTAAACACTTAGATTTTGTTTAATTTATCACTGCCAGTTCACCATTTCACTCCTAGTTAAATTACTTTGACAAATAGGTACACGGCAGATTCATTGTATTTCTTTTTTTTTTTTTTTTTTTTTTTTTTTTTTTTTTTTTTTTTTTTTTTTTTTTTTTTTTTTTTTTTTTTTTTTTTTTTTTTTTTTTTTTTTTTTTTTTTTTTTTTTTTTTTTTTTTTTTTTTTACATATTCATGCGATTGGTCGATCAATTATCAATTACAGAATGCATAATCGAGTACTATAATCTATATTGGAAACAGAGTGACAAGATGTAGAATTTTTACAATTGTATTCCGTAATTTACGGTTCACTGATCCTGAATCAAAAAGCTATGAAGTCGTCTCTGCACATTGTATCAAAATCCTTCGAATTTTATATGCTTGAGGTTTTTATGCATCTCTAGGACACCTTAACAACATAGCAACTTCGTCCTCTCTGATAAATATTCAAAGAGACAAAGTTCTACGCATATGATTAGAGCATGTAATCTGCTCTAGAACTAGACATTAAACATAGTATATTAGCATCAAATCTCAGAATTTTAGCCTCGGATAGAAGTGACCGAAGCCCTCTTTTTCTCTCTGGTAGTGCCTAGTGGTTAAAGACTCAAATTTGAATATGAAAAGTAACTTGTTATTGATAAAGTTCCAGAAACTGCCAGCACAGAGGAAGGTTCTGTTGGAGAAGTCAGCATTCAAGTGGACCTCTTCACGCATCCTGGAACTGGAGAACAAAAAGTCACTGTCAAAGGTAATTCTTATTCTTGTCATAAAATATCATTGGTTATGTCGTTATAAATTTTCTCATATAAGTGGGTACCTTTGTACAATGCCATTCAACGAGTTTTAATTTGTAGTTGTCGCTGCAAACGATTTGAAGTGGCAGCTGCCTACGGGTATGTTCAGGCCGTATGTTGAAGTAAACTTGATTGGACCGCATCTGACTGGAAAGAAGAGGAAGCAGTCAACAAAATCAAAGAGCAATAATTGGTCGCCACAATTCAACGAGAGCTTCGACTTGTAAGCATCTACTTTTCCCCTAAGAGAGTATATTACTCCTGTTTAGCAAGTAATACACTTGGCTTGAAAATCTCTTGCACCTCATGCCTAGAGCTCAACTTATAAGTGCCATTTATACCTTGATCATTTTACTTTGACAACGTTTTACCGTATATTTCATACATTTGAAATTTAAAGCAATTTTATTTATTATATATCCATGGTATGATGATAAATCAAATTTCAAGCCAAGCGATTAATCATCTTAACTTCTTTGCGTTATATACATGAGACCAATATTAACATACGTACCATAATATCTAGCATGATTGGCAACGAACAGCAACAATTGGACTTCTACGAGTTGCACATCTGCGTGAAAGACTACTACTTCGCAAGAGAAGACAGATTAGTCGGCGTTGCAGTGATGCAGCTCAAGGACATAGTCGACGATGGCTCATGCGCCTGTTGGTTGTCGCTCGGCAAACGAATTCAGATGGACGAAACCGGCTGGACAATACTGAGGATCCTGTCACAGAGGAATAACGATGAGATTGCGAAGGAGTTCGTGAAGCTGAAGAGTGACATCAGGCAGGAGACACCGTTACCAAATCCTACCTGAAGCTCAAAGTCACAGCATTAAGCCACGACAGCGAAGCGATGCGTCCTTCGAGTTTGGAAAGAGCTCGAAGGAGAGAAGGAGAGGGGCGTTGTCCACTGGGGAAACCATAGAAGCGTTCGGCCGTCGTTGTCGAGAATGAAGTCTTTAACAAAAATAAATAAATAAGTAAATAAAACAAAAATAAGCAACACCGCGAAACACATGCGATATCGAAAACGCATGAAACACAAATAAAAAAAAAAAAAAAAGAAACACACATTACAACAAACACTTATACGAGAAAAGTCACCGATAAGGACGATCGACCGAATCCTTTTCGGTTCTAACGATATGTCGGTCAGTGAGGGAACGAGAAAGCATGTCGCGCGACATCTTTCTCCTCGCTCCCTTCGCAACCAGCTTCCGGTCGAGCGTGTTCTTCTCTCTTTTTTACGAATCACAGAGCTTTAGCCCCGTCCCGTATATAAACCAAATGAACCGAGAAAAGAGACAAAACCAAGACAAAGGAAACAAAAGATTGGGTTTTGAGTCAACATGTTGAAAACCGAATCCCCGAATCGAAACGTTCGTCCAACGGAAGTCGGATAGGAAGAGAAGAGAAAACGGAGGGGTGATTCCTTCCACCCTTTCTAGACAGCTTTGTGAAGGCGACAGAGGGATAGAATAATGTCCAAGACGATGATTGGTAAAGACGGGAATATATACATATATATATATATAGGCAGACTTATTGTTCAAACAAGTGCCGTGAGGAAGCAGGGTATGAAACCGGAAGTATTGGAAAGTGTTCTGAATAGACGCGAATCTTGAAAACAGTGCTGCCAGTATGCAATATATTTGGTAAATATTCGTAACGTAAGGAAAGGAAAAGGAATCGAATTAGCTGTAGATGGTGCGTTCAGCGCGATTATACCTGAAAGTGTACGAACTCCCATGGAAAATGGAAGCAGCTTGATTGCAAGCAGAAGAGGAGGAAGAGATGAACGATCGAATCGGGGTCCGTGATCACGAGCACGTTGCAAATATGAAACGCGAATAGGACGTGTTTTCGAAATTGAAAGGCGAATCGCGCTGCAACATGGAGATGTAATACTACATATAAATATAAACCCTCGTGAGAGACGACGTTTTAGGCCGTTTGTTCGGGAAGATGAGTTTACTTGTAGATATGTGAAACACATTGTTGACGAAAAAAGTTTTTTCTAAATAACAGTTTAACGTAGCATTGCGTACGACCAATAGGCGTGTCGCGACTCGGGACACGCCGTTAGTAATAAATAGGCATTGTAATGTAAAGTACGTTCTTATTGTAAGAATTAACAAGAGATCGTAAGAGTCTGATTGTTTGGTGGTGAACGATTACGAGGTCCGCTCGAAGACTTCGAGCATTCACCGTGATTCGGATCTCGTTTCGAAGACCTTCGATACGATATGTTCACGTACACGAGAAGTCGATACTCCGTTCCAATGAAGAAGAAAGAAACAATAAGAAGAGGAAGACGCAAACCAATTAGAATGCTTTCGTCCGCCTTCGATTTTCATTCTACGTAAAATATCGTGAAACAGAGAATCCACTCTTCGATCCATTATAACCAGAAACTACTATTTCTATGAATCGACAGCCTAACTTTTTCGAAATTAAACTTTATATCGTGGTAGCTGTATGGTAACTTAAATAATCACGTAACTTCGACACTTTCCTCTTTCGACGATCATTGCTTTTTGTGTGAGCAAGCAAAACCAAATATGTAAACGACGAGATATGGAACGCAAGCTTTGAAAAAACGGACATTAATACTTCTCTGTCTATTCGCTTAAAATATCTCATCAATATTACTCTTGTATATAGATCAAACATTGTCCTTTCGTAGAAACGGTTCGTTAGGTTATGAAGACAGAAGTTGCGATTCTCTACTGTGCAAGACTTCCCCCTCTTAAAGAGCAAGAAAAAAAGAAAAGAAATATTAAAAAATGGAAAAATCGAGAAAATCGAGGGCGGACGCGTTAAACGGTCCCTCAATCTGCTACAAAGCGAAAACGGTCCTTGTGGAAGACACCATAACGTTCTTCGTTTCGCATTTAACGTCCTTCAGAAACTTTGGAGACGCTTGTTTGAGAACACATGTCGCAATTCTCTGCGCGAAGCTTCGATCGGATCTCCTGAAAAACCTGCAAATGAAAAAAACAAAAGAAAAGGGATTAAAGGCAAATATGAAAAGGGCGGAAAAAAAGAAAGAGGAGATGGAAACTAATAATAACACAAAAAAAATGCACGCGACTTTGAAACTAAATGAATTTCATTCTCCGGCCTTCGCAGGTCAAGCAGATATACAATTCCAGAAATTACATGATTATATCCACAAAAAAGTTTCTACTACGTAGTACGTCTAGATATACTTACGTATTGTGTATAGTATCTAAATGCTGATGTAGCTGCGAGCGCGGGATATTCGTCTGGAGAGAGAGCCACCCGAGAAAGAACATTCGGCTATCTTTACAATTACGTATTTACACCAGGCGCTTACCATATCCGGATGCATATGTCTACACAAGACACGAGTCAGGCGCAGAACTTTCGCATAGAATTTCGTTTATTAACACGTTATAACAAGCGCATAACTTTCCAAAATTACCTCTTACCACGTAACTTTGGGTAAAAAATTATACATTTCGCGATAGAAAGAACGAAGAAAAAGACGGTTGATCATTCATAAATCGATGCACCTCTGAGTCTCATTACGAAAAATCGTAGGACAGTATAGAGTTACGCGATAATTTAAACATATTTCATTTCGTAAAGGACACATTTAGCGCGTTACTCGTTGACGCGGTTAGAATGCGTAGATTCGAACGTGCCCGGATTTGTGTGCCAGTTTCGATCGAAATATACTCCTGACGAAATCAACCCTCGTGCACGAAACGCGTTGCAGTTCGTTTTCTTTTTTTAAACGTTCGCGCCGTTTCGATCCCGGTACGCATTCGTCCGAAGCAAAACGATTTCGATCGCAAACAGACAAAAAAGCAACATGGCGTCAGCGATGTACACGGATAGAGAACGAAAGAAAACTGGACAAAATAGAAAATAAGGGACAAGGGAAAACTAGAATCGAAAGAGAGAAACACGGGTCCGCGATCTCGTCACCATCTTCATTTGTAAAAGTGTCTATTTTCTCCGCTGCCTAAGTACGTACTAATTAATGAAAAAGGGCTGACGAATTCGGCAACTAAGCCAAATCCGTCGACGAAACGGGAACAGCCTTTTGTGTGTTTCTTCGCGCTGAAAAGTTTCCGGATCGCTCGGCGATTGCGCTTCGTGGACGGGATTGACCGCCAATTTTTCCTCCTACTCTCCGCTTCGATTAATATCTCGTAAGCTTAATGAAAAAAAAATATCTCGTGTATTCTGTGATAATTACCCCTTAAAGTACATATACACATGTACACATCTGCACATACATGTTTCGCGTACACCTGTAAACAAACCTACTTACACTCACACACATTGCCGAGAAACAACATACGTGATGTATAACCTGCATTGCAACGAGACACGATTCATGCTACATATAAAACATGATACATACGTGACATACACACGACTTGTACATACACGATATCACGCACGTATACACCACACACCAAGCACATGATACACCGATCCCAATAGCAACAGTACTTTTCTCTCTTTTAAAAACATTTCCATTTCTATTCTCTATACTCGTTAAACGTCCGAAGAGTCTCGTTGATGTGTGATAACGAAAGATACCATGGCAGTCGTCGCGATGTTTCATAGAGGTTATGATGCTTCGTTGCAATGGCTACGTAACCGATCGGTAACATAACGAGAATAACACGAATACGATGATATCAACACGAAATAAAACAGGGAACGCAAAAGTATTCGACGGGTAGTGAATGAAAGTGAGAGAAAGATTTCGACGAGCAACGAGAAAGTGGGGGACAAAGATCAAGTGTTTTCGCGTTAGCGTTTTGATAGTGATATTTTCGTTCGAGTTCACGCGAGCGGTACGCGTAAGTCACGTTGGTTCTTTTGCGCTTCGCAGTTATGGGGGAACAAAGAAGACATGGTTGTTACAAACGTTTACTCTTTTCCTTTTCTTTGTTATTCGTTTGATCTTACAGGAAAGATAGTGAAAGAAATAAACGATACTCGTATTACTGCTCGAGGAAGCATAATGGTACGAATGGCTACGCGACGATTCAGGCTGATGGAAATGAATAAAAATTTAACCCTGCTGGGACTCGCGCACGGAATTCAGTTTTCAAGTGCTTTATCTTGTATTCTACTTAAGATATTGATATAATTACGGTACTAATACATAATTTGTAAAATTGATATCATTCTAGTGTTATGACATTTACATGCATATTGTATTAGATTATTATAATGTAACGTGATGCATGCCATGAGTGTTTAGAAATGAGTGTTTAATAATAGAGCTAGTCTTTAGTCTATGAATTTCATTACTTTGAATAACTTTGAATTCAAAAAAAGGAAAAAAATACGAAAGAAAAAAGAGAAAAAATACAAAAGGAAACGGTCCCTAAAGGGTTAAAAGAGTCAGTGCTGGTGAAAGAATAGAAAGCAGATTGTATTACCATCTTTACATAATGAGTACGCATATCTATACATCATTTTAATATACGTATTATGCAGGTTGAAACGATAAATTTATACAGCCGTGAACAAAATGCGAAACCCGTGAATAATTCTTCCTGTCTCGTTGCACGAATCGATCCGTCATTCTTCTCAAGGAACATCTAATCAAAGAGGAAAGGAAAAGAATGCGTGCATAGCAAAGTAAGGTAATGTGTTCGTAGCATTCGTTCGACGAGAGCATGAGATGTCACCGCGAACTTTTGCGTTCAGTAACTAATCACGGACGCAGAACCAAAGAGGGGAAATTATTTGAAAACTAGACTTCAGATTGCTGTATCGTGAGAACGTGTAGCAGAAGAAACCATTTAACAAATTAAAGGGGGAAAGGAAAAGAACAAATA